ACAGTGGTAATAGTTTTCAGAGAGTAGCTACAGGAGGAGTTTTGCAGGCACAGAGATGGGCTTTATCCTCTCAAGACTCCTCCTGACACCAGAATGTTTAAGTGACCTTAGGCCTTGTCTATCTGAAGACCCAATACCCAACTAACGTGAAGTAGCAGTTGAAAAGCACCCACACAAATAAACCCTCCAGATGCCTTTGGAAAATAGAAAATGGAAGAGAAAAAAGAAAAACAATGTAGGAAAGTGTAGGAGTGCCTTCTCTCCAACATTCTGAGAGAAGATAGGAGTTGAAAACCTTCAACAAAACGCTGCCCCCATCTTTCTTGACTAATTTTAGTTATCTTGGTTCATGGCTATGATTCATCCCTAAAGCTGTGAATTGCTGAGGAGGAAGAAGAAAAAAAACTTGACTTAAATGTCAAAGAAGTAGGAACATAAATATAGTTTTCTTTTTTGAGGAACTAGAATTCCAGGATATGGGGATCTTTTTTCTCATGAGGGACTGAATGCTTCAAACTTCTAGAAAAATAATGATCTCCAGTCAAAACATCATCAAGGGATAAAAGACAGAATTGATTCTGAGTCACTTCATGTCTGAATCTTTGCTCCATAGTCTAGTTCCTTAAACCTGGTTAAACTAGAGATCACTAATAATCATTTGTGGTTGAAGATGATGAAGACATATGTAGATGGCAATGATGAAATGAACTCATAAAATACATGTGGGAGAAATGAAAGGAGGTTAGTAGAGCTATGAGAAATGATTCTGGGGAATGGGATCGTAGGTAGCACAGGGAACAAAGTGGTCAGATGTTTTTCTCCCTGCTAAGGAAGAGGGGATGATAGAGATGGGTTGGTAAAACTCCATCTTAAGTAAAGAAAAATGTTATTCAACCTAGTAGGTGTCCCCTAGTCCCTTGGCTACCAATTTGGATTTCTACAAGCATCGGAGAAGGAACCAGCAGTCACTAACCTACACTCTGGTCAGTGATTCACTGTCTGAAGCAGCTGACCTTCTACCGGCAGCCTAGCAACTCTCTGTATGTTTGCCTCTTTCTGCCCTTAGAACTACTGAGCAGTAAAGAAAATATATGATGGTTGTAGAAACATGATTCGGGACATTAGAGGAAGATAATATTGTGTAGACGATAAAAAAGAAAGAAAGAGTTCCGATGACTTGGAGAGGTTCTCCACACCCTAGAAGCTACCAGAGTAGCCCCTAGGCACAACAGTGGATGCTGATTTTAGCCTCTCTCATTGCGCTCAGCCTCACTTAGGGTACTCTCCTCATCTCTGCTCCTTTCTGTTCTTCTCACACCTGGGCATTGCTGGGAACAGCAGTGATCACCATACCGCAAAGACGCTATACCCATGAACAACGATCACTGCACCTATGAACAGCGGTGATCACTGTACCACAAGATCACTGTACCCATGAACAGCAGTGATCACTGCACCTCATCACCCAAGACTCACAGTGTCATTCAGTGACCCGGACCAGTGAGTGTGTCCTGATGACAAACTCACATGAGGGATACTCTTGAGGTAGAAGGGCCTGCAGGGTGCAGGTCTAAGTGACTTTCTTACCCATAGCATTCCATTTTTTTCACTTCTGGAAGATGCAGATTAACATCACAGCTGTGACTAACTTTTATTGTTTTTAGTGGAGTGGTATTTTAAGGATTAAGGAAGATATTTGTCAAAAGGGTCCTTGCTACTCTTATTGTATACAAACTTGGCCAGATGCCTTTATTGCAAATCTAGTTCTTTTCAGATGAGTATATTGTAGGACCTCCATCGCTGACCACCTCCTTAAGTTGAGCTAATTTTCATAGATAGGATGTCCACCACATGCACATATCAGTACAGTGGGGCTAGTTCCTTATGTTGATCACCTCCCTATGTTGACTAGTTTTTTACGGTCCCTTGGTTGGTCAACTTGTAGTGGTTTTACAGTATTTAATTTTCTGAGCCTCCAGATGTATGCTGAAGTGCCATGAAGCCCTATTTACAATTCTTATTTCCATGATCAACTTTCACCTTGCATGGCAGTATTGTGAGTTGAACTGTGCTCCCTAAATAGACACAGTGAAGTGCTAACTAACTCCAAATGTCAGTGAATGTTACCTTATTTGGAGATAGGGTCTTTGCAGATTTAATCAAGTTTATATGAAGTCATCAGGGAGGCCCTAATCCATATGACTGGCATCATAAGAAGACAGCCATGAGCAGACATAGGAAAGCACCACATGACAATAGAGACCAACTGGAGTGCTGTGGCTGTAAGCCAAGGAATGCTGAGCAAGCCAGCCACAACACAAAGAAGAATTATCCTCTGCAGGTTTCAGGGGAGCAGGGCCCTGCTGACACACCTTGATTTCAGACTTTCAGCTTCCTGAACTGTAAAGCTATAAATTTCTATTGTTTCAAGCCTAAGGTGACCAGATTTTAACATTAGTAAAGCGGGACACCATTGGAGGGGACAGGGCCTGGGGGGTGGGGCCTGACAACAATGCAAACTTTGATAAGCAGTTCTCGATAAGCAGTTCTCAACAATTATTTGTTATTATTAAAGTTTAACATTGTAAAATTAACAAAAATAATATAAAACGCATGTCCTGGCGAAATAGCCACATGGCAGCTGAAAACCATATATTCCCTTCCTGTTCTCCCGTGTTCCCTAGCTTGTCGTGCATTCTTTCCAAAAATCAGGGCTTTTTAAAAATGCCGTAGGATGCAGGACAAATTGTTAAAAATCAGGACAGTCCTGCCAAAAACGGGATGTCTGATCACCTTACTCTAGAGAGGGGGCGGCTACTTGTTTTTTCCAGTTTGGCTCCTTCTGAGATAATTATCCTTGCCTAGAAGCAAGGGAGGGAGCCAGTCTCCTTCTGATACCTTGCCCAGGAGGGGAGTAGGGAGTTTACATTAGCCTTTTCATTTCCAAATGAAGTTACATTAACCTCTTCATTCCCAAATGGAATTACATTAACCTCTTCATTCCCAAATGGAGTTACATTAACCTCTTCATTCCCAAATGGAGTTACATTAACCTTTTCAGCAGTGGAAAACCGTATATTCCCTTCCCATTCTCCCACTGTTCCCTAGCTTGTCATGCATTCTTTCCAAAAATCGGGACTTTTTAAAAACGCCGTGGGACCAGACAAATTGTTAAAAATTGGGACTGTCCTGCCAAAAGTGGGACATCTGGTCACCTTATTCAAGCCACCAAGTTTGTGGTACATTGTTAGGACAGTCCTAGGAAATTAAAACCTGTAGTAATAAAGGCAAAGAGGGGACCAGGAAGCCACTGGAAAGAAAGAAGAACTTCTTTTCTTGAGTTGACTTACTAATGTATTAGTATTAATTTTGATTAAATTGATCCACACAGTGGTTTCACATAATCCTTTAAAAACGAATTCACAAAGGGAATAACAAAATATAAAATATACTTTGCTACTTAAATAAATCCCCATCACAGAATTAACAGCCTAGTGTGTTTTCCTGAACTCAACTGCCTTGGTCTTTTTGGTTTTATTTGTCTTTGTCTTTTAACGTTTTATTTTGTATGAAATATTATAATATAGGCTCAGTGCCCATACCATCGCAGTTATAGTGCCAGCCACATACACTGAGGGTGGCGGGTTCAAACTCGGCCTTGGCCAGCTAAACAACAATGACAGCTGCAACAAAAAATAGCCAGGTGTTGTGGCAGGCACCTGTAGTCCCAGCTACTTGGGAGGGAGAGAATTGCTTAAGCCCAAGAATTGGAGGTTGCTGTAAACTGTGATGTCATGTCACTGTACCCAGGGCAACATAGTGAGACTCTGTCTCAAGAAAAAATTATAAAAAGATAATGTAAATACAGGAACAGTAATATACATTTTATCAAAATATAGAATCAAAGGCTCTTAAAATATTAATTATCTATAATATTAATATTTTTCAGGTCCAAATGTAATTCTGTCTGGATCCATGTTCTAAGGCCCTGATTTACTTTCTATAAATAGTATTAAAAATTAAATCAGGTCTTGCTTAAAATAAACAATTTTAGTAGCTGCCCCTGTAATGCCGTTCTCTGTCTTCAAATAGCATAAGTGGACATAAGGTCTATAGTCACGTGCTGAATAACAACGTTCTGACCAATGAGGACTGCACGGATGGTGACAGTCCTATAAGATTGTACTGGAGCTGAAAAATTCCTTCTCTATGTTGAGATATGTTTATTTTGTTTCATTTTACTTTTACCTGGCCTTTCTGTGTCAGAGATATATTCAGTTACACAAATACTTATGACTGTGTAAGCATTTGTGATATATTTAGAGACACAAATACTTATGATGCTGCACCATCAAGGTTGTAAGTATGCTCTGTGGTGTCCCCACAAAAATGGTATTGCCTAATGACCCATTTCTCAGAATGTGTCCTTATTGCTGGGTGAACTGTATTTATAGTCACATTTTTCAAAACAAAAAACATTTTTTTAAGGTCTTGCAAATTATAATATGTATCAAGTGCTCAAATTTAAAAATGTGTATTAAGAACATTCACACATCACCTAATTTTCAAACACAGCCATAGCCTATAAGCTTCTCCAAGACAGTCTCCCCTATCATGCTGCTCAGTAACCTCAAATAGTCAAGGATCTTTTAAGAGCTCTCTTGCATAGTTAGTGGCTGAACAAATGCCCAAGAATTGGGACACATGGATGTTCTTGTTGGCTTGAAATGTTAATTCTTTCAGAAGCCATTCTGGATTGTTTCAAACCCTTCTTACTGGAAGTGGGGGGTTCACTTCCTAATGGGTGCAGAGCACATGTGGGCTCCCCCTCTTTGAAGGCTGTGGGGTATATGCATCAGAGCCAATGTCAAAGTCAATTGGCCATTCAGTGTGTCACACTGCCCCATCTGTAGGATGTTTTCTGCACCACTTACTTTAGGAGTCAGACTGTCAGATCCTAATACAAGGAGCTGGACCACAGTGTTGGTCACAGAACTTACTTGAGTGTGGTGAGTTCTGTAAGGGATGGCTGAGTAGCCTTGAGATAGCTTTCTCTTCGTGCAGCGACTTTGGGAGAAGGCTTGGGACTTGTGTCTGAGTCGCCACTGTCATCATCCCCCATGGCCTTGATGTAGCTGCCACTCCGCATTCTTCGGCATGGAATTTCATCGTCTTTAGCTCGAGGGGTGTACCCTGACCATTCGTCTTGAGGAACCTATTCAGATAGAAAATAGATAATTCACTTTTTATTCACCGTTTTCTTTTCTTCTTTTTGTTATGACCCTGCATATGTGTAACATAGATACTTATCCAAAACACTAGATGTTAACCTTTCAATAAATGTTTTAAAGTAATAGGCTTGAAAATGTTTTAAACACATGCATTCCATGTCTCAATCTTTAAAATAAGCTCTGTATTAGGAAAAATTAATACCATTCACCCTGATTCGTTTTTACTTAGTTTTCTCAAGCTGAGAACAGTTGAGTCAGGCATTAAGGATGTCACTGGAAATAAGAGCAGTTTTATTTGAGATTTTTGGTGATTGGTTTTCAGTGGTCATTTAAGGTTCAGGAATGGTTTCTGATTGATCTACATGAGCGGTTCTCAACCTTCCTAATGCCATAACCCTTTACTACAGTTCCTGTGGGTTGCGATCCACAGGCTGAGAACCGCTGCTCTACCCCATCCCACTCCTTCCACCTTCATCTTCTCATATCCAGGCTCTCTTCTTCCTAAGCCAGTTCTATACCAGCTGCATTCACTTCCCAGTCACTTATTCTTTGTGATCCCCTCTTAATTTGAATGCAGCTTCCACCGATCTGCTCAAAAACTCATTAAGCATTTCCAGTGATCTCCTCATGAAAGCTAATGGCATTTTCTTAATTTAATTTTTTGCCTTTCCACTCACACATGCACACACTTAGAATTAACAACTCCTGTGAGTGTCTCCCCTTTCGGCTCTCCAGTTGCTCTACTGAGCTGGTGCAGCTCCTACCGTCTGAATGGTGCTTTTCCTCTCGCTTCCCTGGATTCTTCCCTCAATCCCTAATTGTCCGCACTGCTCTTTTCTCTTTCCACAATCATTTCTTCTGAGTTTGGCAGGACGTTGCACTCACGGCCTTTCAGAAGGAGTCTGTATTACGACTTTCTCTCTTCCCTTCCTCCTAGATTTTCCACTTCAATATGAACTCAACCTAAGATTTCACTCCTTCCCCATTTGGTGAAAGAACTGCATAATCACCACTCTTTTCCTCCATCAAGAAGTAGCAAACAGCCTACAGTGCATAGAACACAGCACAGGGCCGAATTAAAAGAGACCCATAAAGGGGGAGGCTGGTTCTTGCCCTCAATCTGCTTATAACAGAGATGAGAAGATGAAGCATAAATACATTTAGGCATAGTTCCAAATTAACATGTTAGTAAGTTTAAGAGGTGGTGTGGTAAATGGAATATGCACTAAAGAGATGCTAGGAACAGGAGCTATCGGTAATGGTGAGGAGGAGGGAGTATCTGGGAAGGGCTCCCTGGAATTGGCCAGGTTTGTGATGAGAAGATAAAAAAGTATTTAATATTTCAATGCTACTTACTGGTTACCCATTAAAATAATTTAGTACTTAATTGTTTATTTTTTAATTTTTATTTATATTTTTTGAGACAGAGTCTCACTATGTCACCATCCATAGAGTGCTTTGGTGTCACAGCTCACAGCAACCTCAAACTCGGGCTCAAGTGATTCTCTTGTTTCAGCCTCCCAAGTAGCTGGGACTACAGGGTCCACTACAGCTATTTTTTTGTTATAGCTGTCATTGTTGTTGGGGAGGCCCCGGGCTGGGCTCAAACCTGCCAGCCCTGCTGTATGTGGCCATCACCCTAGCAGCTGAGCTACAGGCACTGAGCCTATAGTACTTAATTATTAACGTTTAACTATGCTAAATAATTTGAGTACAGGACCTTATTTCATTGAATCAATAATGCGAGCATTTTTTTTTTGGCGTTTTTCATATAAGAAGCATGATCTCAGCGAGGTTAAGGAGCTTGCCCAAGGACACACAGCTAGTACGTGGCAGCACTGGGGTTCAAAGTACTTTGGTTTGACTACTGGGATCAGAATTATATTAATCTAACTTTTATGATTAATAATATATGCTTCTGAAAGTTAAGTGTTAGGAAAATTGTCCCAAATGACACATAACACATATTAGACATAGATTTCTAAATATCATAGGTTGTAGGAAGTGAGAAGAGATGTGCTAGTAAAAATAAAAGCACAATTCTTTCCTTCTTAAATTATTAATTTACCTGTATAATTTGAAAAAAGTTTCTATTTAGAAACATCAGATTGAAGCACCGAAAACAGCAGTTTCTAGGTTCTAATTCTGAAAAGTACTATCAGAGATTAAACTTCAGGCTGTAGCGTGCTATTTCATTTAATGCATTCTTGTACTGCTGGTCCTGTGTGCAGGCACCGTTCTAAGTGTTTTATATACGTTAGTCCATCTGATCTACTTAGCTGAGGGGTGGTATTATTATTATTATCATACCTGTGTTAAAAATGAGAAAGCTACGGCCATGAAACTTGCCCCCCCGACCCCAGCGTTATGGCTGGGAAGGGTCAGAGTTTCCACAGGGTCCTTGCGGGGGCCTTGTATTATTTCATGCTACCTCTCTTTCTAGGCTATGTTTTGTGGCACCTGCAGAACTGCACGATTATAGTTCATGACATATTTTTATTGTGTCCCATTTATTAATCATGCTAGTAATAATGTAGTATTTCTACTTTTATGGTTAAAAAGCATCAAAGTCACCACAGCAACAAACATTTCTTGGGAAATTATAAATGCTGAGAACAGCCTTGTTTTTCTTCAGTCTAACTCATCATGTGGATATCATCATGTTCAGAACATCATTATTGGCTTAGCAATTACATTTTAAGAACTAACTCGGTACAGCTGAGGGTCGTAGACAAAGCACACTAGCTTAGTAAGTAGCAACGTGAATTCCAAAGCATACATGTCTCTGAAATATGTCAAAGACTAATGACAAATGGATTAGCTTGTATCACTTACGTAACAAAACATGGCACATTTCTGTTTAGGCATATTTTCAACGTTAGTTTATGGAAGATACGGGGCTTGTACTATAAAACAGCTAAAGGAACTGGGCAGTGCCTGTGGCTCAAAGGAGTATGCTTTTGGAGTAGGAGTAGGGTCCCCATATGCCAGAGGTGGCGGGTTCAAACCCAGCCCCAGCCAAAAAAAAAAAAAAAAAAAAAAGCTAAAGGGACCAGCTTAGAAGTATTTAATCTGTATATCAATTTTTTTTTTTTTGAGACAGAGCCTCAAGCTGTCACCCTGGGTAGAATGCTGTAGCATCACAGCTCACAGAAACCTCCAACTCCTGGGCTCAAGCTATCCTCCTGCCTCAGCCTCCCAACTAGCTGGGACCACAGGTGCCCACCACAATGACTGGCTTATTTTTCTATTTTTAGTAGAGATGGGCTCTCTTTCTCAGACTAGTCTCGAACTTCTGAACTCATGGTATCTACCCACATTGGCCTCTCAGAGTGGAAGGATTACAGGTGTCATCCACCATGCCCAACCTATGCTGTACACCTTTCACCTAATCTTACTTTTCAAATGATAACAGCTAAAAGTTGTCTGGAAGTGATTTACTTTCATTAAAGTGGAATTGGAATATTAAGACAGTATTCATATGCTTAAAGGTAGCAAACAACAGGGTTACATATAAATTAATACAGATATTGGTTCTAGGAAAAATGTAAAGACACAGGAATCCAGACCTGGGGAAAAAAAACTGCTATTGCTGAACTGTAAAGGCCAGTACAATTGCTCTAATTAGGCCAGTTGTTATTTTCAGTTTCTTGACCTCTAAAGCAAAAGGGAGGCATTGCTTCTATACATGGTTTGTAAGGGGCGCAAAGAGTGGAATGGTGCTTCCTTTTTGACTGGAAAGAGAGGATAATTATATGGCTGCAGCTGCTGTTGTGAGCTGGTCAGAGGTTGCTGCATCTTTCCACGTCAGTTGCATGGAAAGAAGAGATTTAGAGCAATTCAAAGAAATGGTTAACCTTGCAGCTACCTGAGTAAAGCCCTCATGATTGCTGGTGATGGCAGTTTAAGGGATTGTTAGTCGTGGTGAGTAAGGGAAACTAGAGGAGAGAGAAAGAGCACAGGTGCCTGCTGATTTCCGGCTGGCGAGATGTCATGCTTGTCTCCATCAGCTTAGGAGGTGGTCGGACCCAACAAATGTAAAAAAATAACAAACACAATCTAATAGAGGTTAGGTTTTACAGTAGCTGTGGATTAGGAAAAAAAAGGATCATTTGCTTTTTAATGCTTATGTTTAAGCTTTACACATAATAGAGATCTTTATTTTTGATAAACAAAACGAGAATTAGTCTGCATTTTCTATTTCAAGTGTAGCCCATCTATAACTTAAACTACATGTCATCATTTAGAAGTCCAGAAGACTTGCCCTTGACTAATGAATGACCATGGTCAAATGCTATCATCCTCTAATTACAGGGTGAGGATGCTTTCTGAGTTGAAATGGTGTCACAGACAATGACTGATGGGCTGTTCTAATGAAGGTTATAGTCTATTCAGTCATAGAACAGGAGGAATTAAGCACCCCTAATGGGTGCTTACATTTTCTGTCTCCTTTCTTCCCTCCCTCCATTATTCCTTTACTTCTGCAAGTATTTTAAAATTATTTATCTGCCGGCCAAGGCCTCGGTTTTGGGAATATATGGCAGTGAAAATACAAATGTTGATTCCATTCTGTGTAATTTAAATTCTAGAAGGAGAGCTGGGAGAGATAGGTAATAGACAAGCATGCTGATAAATGAACAAGGTAATTTTAGAAAGCATGAATGCTGGGGGGGAAGTAAGATGAGGCTATGTGTTAGGGTAGCCAGAGGGAGTTGCTTTAACTTGTTCTTTAAGAGGAGCTGTCTTGAAGAAGTGACTTCTGAAGACAAGATCTGAGACATGAAGGAAGGACCTTCCTGGCAGAAGGATCAGACAGTGTAAAGTCTCTATAGTAAGAGACTCTCTTGGTGTAACCAAAGCCCTAGGAAGGAAAAATGCTGGCCTGGTCAGAGGGCACTGAGCAAGAGGCAGGGATGAGAGGTGGTGGGGCTGGGTCACACGGGGTCTTCTAAGCTCATCAAATCTTCCTTTAAGCTGAACTCAG